AATTTGTAACTGAGTGCAATCCTCATGAGGATTGCACTCAGTTACAAATTGATCTGACGACTAAATAAAAGAACACAACAGTTTGAAAGTGAACATCAACAGCACTGAACTTCTATTTGCATGAATAAATGAATGAACATAAAAACGCATTGCATTTTAATAGCTGAACGCTGCTGATCAATTCGTTCGGATCGGTTAAGCATACGAATGACATTTACGAATACAACACATTCATTCAGTTGAATCATCAAAAATACAAATCAACTATATTCTGCCTTCCCTCTTCCCTCCTCCACAGTAGCGCATCAACTTTCATCCTTCACTGATATTTGTTTTTGACTGTGAAAAAAAAAACGTAACGAATACCTGCAAACGAACACCGAATTTGGTTCCTTCATGTGGATATGCCTCACCGATCCATTCAATCCATCCTGGAACATACATCCTTCTCCGATTATACCCAACTCCAGGCCAGTCATCTGGTGACGTCTCCATTATCTTGAATTGCATCACCTCTTTATCACACTATACTAACTTGATCAACAGTAATGAGCACAACTGGAAAAAGGTCCGCGACCTACACTGTTCTCAAATGAGGACGGTCTTATTGGCAAGGTAATTCTCCCAGTTTTCTTCACTCCTTTGCTGAAATCTCACGCAGGAGAACGAACAATTCCGATATTAAGGGGCTACCAAAGGACACTCCCAAATTAAGCAACGCTACACACCAGTCTCAAGAAGGAAATGTGCGGAATCTGATGATAACAAAAAAACAAAACAAACAAACAAACGACAAAACAACACAACGGTAAGAGGTCGAAGTGATGTTTCAGTTGCCGTTTCGAATTTGATTATTCGGATAATTTTTATCGTCGAGAACGAATATGATGTGACTATTCTAAATAAACATGTATTTCTAGAGCGACTGACATTTTCAAGGCGATTACTGCATACTAATGAATCTCGGTGGGAACATGTGCCATTTGAATGATGTGTTCATCTAAATGGGCGAATAACGGAAACGATTGACGTGAAGACTGACTCCGGTTGAAAAACCTGAGATCCCGACTAATCTCTAGCCAAAAGCAACCGCAGTCTTGCTGTGCCCTGAATTAATGCCCTCTTCGTCTACCGCTTCTTAATGCTCCTCGACCAAAATCCTCCCCTTTTCCAACACTAACACTGATAGTAACGCTGATAATATCAACAATAACATCAATAATAGCGAGAACTACTATTGTTATTACATCGACCGCAAACTACTGTTAACAAAACGGCAATAACAATGAAAGTAATGATGAATCATCAGTGAATCATCAACCAAATGAGTGTCGCACTAGTCATGCTCAATCATCACCAAGCATAATTACATTCCAATCAAAGACAGTCAAGTATCGAACAGAAACATCAAAAAATAATTCATTCCGAATCACTGAATAATCTCTTTTAATCGCTTCGATGAATATTTTAAAAATAAAAGGAATGAACGAAATGATTCATCTCAAAATACTTATTAGGTAATGAATCGAAAACCAAATGGAATGAAAAAATTTATGATGCTTATGATAATGAGGCGCATTCGCAAATGAGTGGAACATTGTCATGAACAGAATGAAATGAAGATGAAGACGTTTAAGAAATGTTGTTGTGATGACGATGAAAACAACAATAAATAATGAGTGAAATGAATCGGGCAGCAGCAACGTTCATTCAACAAATCAAACACCAAAATAATGATAATTCAACAAACAAAAATCATCGCAATCCATCGACACAACATAAACATAAATCCGGTTTATAATTCGTTTTCTCATTTCGGTTCGAATTAAATTTCATTTCTGTGCGCAATTCAACCAACCGACCGACCATCGTTGAAGTGAAATTTTTGAAAGAACACAAATGAGTAGAAAATAAATCAGGAAATTATAATAAACACGCTATCAAATTATGCGTTTTTCGATGGAAATACATTGCATTTTTTGCGAGCCGTCTTCAAACCTACACAAACAAACATGCGTGAACATAAAAATAAGCTGGAATGTTTTAAAGATGCTCACTTAAAGTGACAATTAATCAATACCAACTAAAGGTAAATATACCCGACACTGAAGGTACCCGAAAAAGTCTTGAGAAGATTATTTCCATTCAATCCACAACCGTTTCCGTGAAAATAAAAAACCTTACGAATTCTTTCCAATCACCCGCAATTCATTCGAGCACAAATCAACAAAAACGACAAAACGAAAAACGCACTCTCATTCACTTAGGAGAACACTGAAGTCGCTTTCGTCTTTCCGGCTTATAAAAATTTACAGTTGAGATACACTCACGCAATGAACGAACGCACGGTAGAGAGATTACAAACAATTTTCAGAAGTTCGTTCAAAAATTCACTTGCTTTCGGAATGATTCACTGCAGCCGATAATGAGATTATGATAAAAACGAAAATACATGCATAAATCTTCATGGCATTAATAATTCATGAAAATGAATCTGTTCTCGAATTTACTTCTTGTCAATAGCAACGATAAATCATCGACGACTCGTAATGAACCCACCTCAACCAGAACACGATCGCCTTTCTGCAGTTGATCAACAAACGCGAAACGCGACGAATCACGATGGAAGTCATAACGAATATCGTTATCTCGTATTGCCAACAAAATTGACGCTTCTGAATCACTCAACAACAGAATCTGCAATTTACCATCACTATCAAACGCTTCGGTTTATTCTAACCCAACATTGAGTGTAGCATAATGGTTTCAGAACGGACAACAGGCACTATCAGTTTAGTTTAGAAGATTTCAACTAGATCGAATCCTACTTCGGAGTATAACCCAGCTCATACTTCAAACAAACTATTCCATGTGCTACTATTTTTTTATCAGTGAAAGTAATCCAGCAGTAGCTTGAAGTAGTTTCTTCTTTTTTATCAGAATAAGAGGCTGGGAAAACAATTGTTCCTCTTCCTGGCTTTAATCTCCGTAGGAAATAAAT